GAATTAATTTTTCAAGATTGAAGAATCCATGAAACATCTAATATACCTCTTTCTAAAATTTGGATACTTTTGGAATGTTGTAAAACATTTATTATTCGCTATTTGATGTCCTTATGGCAATAAAACCCGCTTCTTGACATAAACTCACATAAACTCATTTCTCCTTATCGACCAATATCGATATTATCGATTTTTGCCGATTCTTTGTGATGTTTGACTTGCGGGGCCAGAAGCTGGCACAATGAGGTAGTCGAGCATGCAGATTATGAATGCATTATTAGTTTTTTAAATTATCCATTACTTTTATCGATTTTATCGATTTTTTGCAAAGTTTGAGCTATGGGGCTGGGAGCACAGGGCGTGACCGAGCATGCTGATTACGAGTACAATATCAATTTTTACAGTTATCCGTTACTTTTATTGATTTTTCCGATGTTGCTGCAAAGTTCGAGCTACGGGGTTGGGTATTGGCAAGAGGGGTAAGTGAGCATGCTGATAACTAACTTAGTGGGAATAGGGAATTGGCATGTAGAAGTGGGCACAGGGAAAAATTGTGCAGGGATAAAACCCTTATCATAGTGTTCAGACAGGGCCGGGCGGAACCGGCTAAGCCAGCTAGTGTGCAATAAAGCCCATAATGGTGTCATAAGTTGTCATGGTTGTTTCATAGTTCAACCGCAATAAGTCACACACTTCTCATTTTTGAATAGGTTGCAAGCAGGGCTCGGCACGAGGTGGCTAGATGAAAGTGGAAAAAACGAAGTCCCCCTTGACTTTTGGGAATTTTTACGAAGTCCCCTTTGACCCTCAACCAAATTTCCTCTAAAAACCTGAAAAATTCCCCAAAATCCCCCAAAAAACGAAACGTCGACTAAAAAAAAAGGTCGCCGTCGCCAATTTTCCGTGTCTCTTCGGTCACAAAAACGAAACCCCCTTTGCTTTTCGTCCCAAAAACGATATCCAGCTTGCTTGTAAGCCACCTCGTGCCGAGCCCTGGTTGCAAGGTACCATTCGATGGAGCAAAGCATGCTCTACAAAATGGCCTTGTTTTTGCAGCAGCTCTCATTAACCTTCAATTTCGAGCCAAAAACTAAAATGATATAGCTGCACGAAAAATTGCGAAAAATCGTAACTCAGTTCATAAAAATCCTCCAAAAATTCTAACTTGCTCATGTAAACGCTATCCACATAAGACATCTATATAAGCTGTTTCCATCTTTATTCACCCTTTAGAAATCAAGAGAAAGGAAAATTTCGTGCATTTCCAAAAGTGATGCTCTGCAGCCCGCACATGCATAGTTGTATTCTACAAGCCAGTAGAAGTACAAACGTTAATTTTCAGCTTCGTACAAGCCTTGGTTCTCGAAAAATATCGAATATGGCTTTTCTTAGTCAGGTGGTCCAAGCCAAAATCTAAATTTTTCAAGAAGTAAAGCTTGTAGAAAGCCAAAAATTATGTTTGTGCTTCTACAGGCTTGTAGAATACAACTACGCATGTGCGGACTGCACAGCATCACTTTTGGAAATGCACGAAAATTTCCGTTTTCTTGATTTCTAAAAGGTGAAGAAAGATGGGAACGGCGTATGTAGACGTCTTATGTGGATAGCATTCACGTGAGCAAGTTAGAATTTTCGTAAGATTTTTATGAACTGAGTTACGATTTTTCTCAATTTTTCGCGCAGCTGAATCATTTTAGTTTTTGGCTCGAAACTCAAGGTTAATAAAAGCTGTTGCAAAAACAAGATAGCCATCTTATAGAGCTTGCTTTGCTCTATCGAATGGTGCCTTGCAACCTATCCAGAATTGACAAGTGTATGACTTATCGCGGTTGAAATTAAAAACGGACATTAATTTTCGGACAACTTAATATCTTAGCGCAAATAGTAATCATTTTTCCAATTTCCACATTTTTTGAAGAGTAAGGACGTTCAATCAGCTCGAAGATGCGAAAGAAAGTTTATTAAAGCAAGGCAAAACTGAAAAACACGAAAAGAGCCGAACCTACACCTGCATCAACTCATGGGCCTATCGCACTAACCACTAGACCACACCGCTCCGTTAGTCTTGGTAAAACATATTTCTGTGGGCAGCCAAAGCCCGCAATTAGCAGAAACGGAAGTCAGATTCGGAATCAGCGTTCCAAGACGAGTGCAATCGTATACAACCCATCTCAAAAGGCCACGGACACCGAGTATCTTTTCCTTGTAAGATCAAATCGAGACTCTGCAAAAAGTACGACCGACTCTTCGACGCATTACATGGTGAACATGCGAACGATGAAGTCTGTCGCCTTCAAAACCACCACTCTATTAACTCAGCAGCTACCAATGATGTTGTTGGGAGGGTCACTACTATCGGCAACATTCATTTATCTGCGCACGCTACCGATTTCCTCACTTTCGGTCCATCTTTGTCGATATCGTAAAGCATAAATGCATCATTCTGCCGTAAAATCTTGAGTAATTTACATAAAATGCGTTATTCACTGAGATTGAAGACTTAGTTTGAAAACACCCAGATATTAATTACAACGGAGAAACCAGTGCTGCCAACGATACCGTTTTCTCGATTATCTTATGAAGAACCCGAACTGATGCTTGTGGCTGATACAAAGTTTCTTTCTACTGGGATTTTACATTTTCTCAACAAGTTCAGGGGATTCTATTATACAAACCTGACACGTGAACAATGGCAAGGTTACAAGGAAATGCGCGACTTAGGTAAAGGATCTATCCGTTTATCGACAAGCGATAAAGGCGGCGAGTTTGTATTGATGCCTGAAAGTCTAGACAGAGAGATTGCACGGTTGCATCTTTCTAATACGACAATTACCAACATGCTACCCAAAGAGATTTTCAAGCACATTGAAAGGTTAAACAAGTTCTGGATTGGTGTCAGTAGATCAGCAGCACTTGACGATAACTTTGTAAAGAGACTGAAAATGAAGAGCCCAAATCCGTCCCGTATTCTACCACCTGTTGGAAACTCATAAAGTAGCGGCTCACGAGACCAGCTCCATGTCGCCGAAAATGTACAAGATTCGCCCCATTATAAGCTGCGTAGGTGGTCCCACCGACCGAATATCATGGTTTCTAAACGAAATCGTAAGCCAATAGCTCACAATTTGTCTAACACACATCAATTCATTGAGCAGCTACGACAGTTGAAACATGAGCCAAATAGTGTCATAGAATCGTTTTATGTAACATCTCTATACACCAACGTCCATGTTGATGCTGCTTTGCAAGAGCTCTCGGAGTTAAACAAGTACGATAATAATATCAGCACCTTTGGTTTGAGCAAAAAGTGCATACTGGACTAGTCAGAGAATGCCTCAAATGCAACATATTTAAATGGTCTAGAAACTACTACTCTCAAGTCAAACGGCTCGAAATGGGCCAAAGATTTGTTCCAGTCATCGCAATATGTTACATGAGTAAGATCGAAGAACCAGTACTCGCGCGCATACTAATGATGTACTGCCGATACATCGATGATTGCTTTATCGTAGCTTCAACACAATCCAGAATGAACGATTGCTCTCAAATTTCAAATCAGCATTCGCAGTACATCCGGCTTACATGTGAAACACAACGGTGAATGGCTTTCCTTCCTGAATACAGGAAGGAAAGCATGTGTTTCACATGTTTCACATCCAGGTGAACTTGTCTGGCAATACCGTGCGAATAAAATGGTACAGAAAGGAAAGCTCGAGAAACATCATCACACATGCTACGTCAGCCCACCCCTCAGCAGTCAAACATGCTGTCATACATAACGCGTTTAAAACTGCTACCGAAATGTGCACAGGCGATGACGAGCGACGCGAGTCACGACAAATAACAGCTGACACTGACATTGCACTCAGTAACGGCTGTATGCTTGGAACAGGGGGATCACGTAGAAGACAGTTTAGTTATCATGAATGTGTTAGCCTTGCGGAGCGCAACAAAAACAACAAGATTTCTTTGTGCACACCCTTTGCTTCCGATAGAATCAGCGAACCATAAGACATGCATCATGCGAGCACAGCGTAAAATGAAGTCATGCTGATTGACAATCTTAGCGATAATATCAAAAGACGGTTGGTCAGGAATACAGTTTACGATGTTGAATGTATCAAAGGATTGCATAGTCTGTTCTTACGGGAAAATTGGGGATTGCGCCGAATCGGGAACTGTCTATCGTTTATTCGTTGACCGTACCGACTGTCTATCGTTTATTCGTTGACCGTGCTGACCGCGCGGCGACCGCGACACGTGCCTTCTAACCTTGCGAAAGAGTGACAAGTTGGACCGTGGCTAAAGATGAGGAGAATTCTTTGTTTCTTTTTTACATTTGTGATCTTTCCGTCGTTTTCAGGTGGATTTCGTCCATAGCAGTTCCGTGAACGTCAGCAAGCTTGGAAAGCCTTCCTGACCGTTCGTATAAACCGCCGTTTTGTGATCGTCGCTCGCTGTCTTTGCGTAGTTTCGCTCTCGTGGTTCAAGATTTTTCTCTGCTTACACGCTGTCAGCTCTCGCTTTCTATGTTTGTCGCGTTTTTCTCATTTTTGTATCATTTCAGTTGGATTTCATCATTCTCACGTGTACAGCCATGTATTCTCAGACAATCGACGGGACCCCTCCGCCGGACAGTCCGAAACTGCCAGAGTCGCGCCGGACCCAGTTGACCAATGAGAGAGGGGCAAATGGGCGGTCCATCGCGGTGACATCATTGGCAGGCAAGTGGGAGGCTTCTCCGGCCCTGCTGCAAAGGTCCGCCATTTCTCCGGCGCGACTCTGCCAGATTTGGCGGACTCCGCGCCGGAGAAATTTGCCCGGCGCGAGTCCGCCAAATTTGGAAGAGCCGCGCCGGAGAAAATGGGAGGGGTCCGGAGCAGAAATGGGAGGCCTCCGGAGCAGAAAATGGGAGGTATCCGGAGCAGAAAATGGGAGGTATCCGGAGCAGAAAATGGGAGGTATCCGGAGCAGAAAATGGGAGGTATCCGGAGCAGAAAATGGGAGGTATCCGGAGCAGGCTGCGTATCGATTTGGCGCGTAGCAAGCAAACGTCTAACTCCACGGTGATGAGTCCTCTGTTTACGCTCTTTGTCCATATTTTAGTCGCCGTTTCTTTGATTTTGTTGTTTTTGCGCGTTTCTTTACCGTTTTTTTTCTTTTCCGCGTTGCTCTTCGTCGCGTTGGCCTTTATGTTGTTGTAAGTTCCTCGTTTTCAGGTTTATGTCTCAAATTTTCGTGCGGTTGCACTCAATCACCTTCAGTGTCAGCTTAAGCTCAAATTCTGCCTCCAGGCGAGTTGTTTCTTGAATGTCGCACTTTTATGTTATGTTTTTTTTTTAATTCAATTATTCTCTGTTCTTCTTCAATGGCTCCATGCTGCTGTGTTACCGTGTGAAATTGAGTTCTGATCTTATGAAATCACAATTTTAGTTGCTGATGCTGGCGGTAATCATACACTTCCCGAATCTTCCATCGTTCTTAATGGCAATGCTAAGGACGATGGCAGCATTGTTAGCTACCAGTGGACACAAATCTCGTAAGGCTTCTATTCAATCCAAAACCGAATTCTACTTCTTTTTTGTTTTAGAGGTCCTGCAAATGCTTTGTTGGTGAATGCCGACAAAGCCAAAGCAACAGCATCGGGGCTGATAGAGGGTCATTACGTGTTTATGCCGTTGTGGAAGACGATGGAGGTCTGAATGCCAACGCGTCTGCATTTATCAGCGTGGAAAGGAGTAAGCTTTCACTTCTACAGCTTTGGTTATACAAATGAGGTCCGTTTTAGATAAAAATGAACCCCCAGTTGCGCGAGCCTTCAATGCCACTGATCCTCATTGTGGGAGTGGCGTTTGCTGCTGATTGGAAAGTGGCTAATGTCGAGAGGACTATCGATCTGTCATCTCAGGTGGAATCTTCACACTTTCCATTTTTGCAATGTTCTGCTATACAGAGCAGGCATATTCCACAAAGTTTGACTTCATCCGATTTAGAAGAAAATACAGTGTTCCAAAAGCACTGATGATTTGCCATTTGGTGTTGTCAGATCTCGCTTGTTTCATTCTCTTAGACTGGATTCATACTGATCCGTATGTTCCGGAACAGTTCCAGCACAGCGCACAGTTCGGGCACTGTGTTGGCACTGTTCCGGAGCTTAGGGATCAGCATGAACCAGTCTCATGCAACGCCAGATAAGAAACAGAAAGGTAAAGTATGCGTGGCTCGTGCATCAGTGGTGGTTCCTTGCTAGCGAGAAAAGTGTATGTAATCTTTGTTTGAATCTTATAGGCGACTTATAGACGCATATATTGCGGACGTATCGGTGTCTCTCTAGCGCCCGTTCGTTTCTCTTACAATCTGCGGTCTCTTCCAAGCACGAACTATCTTGGATGGGCGCAACGGCGCCCAGTCTTTGCGTGTCATGAATCGTGTATATATGGTTCATTTTTAAAAGCGTGACGATGAGTTGATTGCGGTCCTTGCGCACACAGGAGCATAAAACACCCATACAAAAAGGCATCACCTCAACACTTAGCTCAGTCACTTCCAGTGTCTGAATACTATCTATCTAAGCAGAAAAACTATTTGATCAAAGATATAAACCAAGGAACTCAAGGTGATTTTGTCTTCTTGATCAAATATCTTATCTGTTCATTGTATTTCTCACATAAGCGTTTGGACATTGAGTGTAGTCAACACTTGTTCGCTCATCGTGTAGGTCATCTAGGGAACCCTTCTCTCGCATTGATCATCAACTGGATCGTAGGGGGCGTCGACAACCGGCTCTTCTGCATTTCACGGTAAGTCCCACTATTAACAGATTTTACTGTGTGACACTGCTTTTTTTCTCGAATGCAAAGACGGCCCTACTCTTATGCTGCTTCTGGGTATCTTCTTGATCGTTCGCATCATGATTGAGAAGGGGATCTAGAAGCCCTTTGTTGAACCCACAATTTGCGATCCAGCAAAAGTGGTTCTTGAACTGTGTCCCATTTGCGTTTTAGCATTGTGACTTAGAAATCCGGAAGTGAAAGAATTTTTACGTGCTTTTCGTTTTATATATCATCTTTTCTAACTTTGTGATAAGTTTCATCACTTTTGCAAGTTATGATGAAAAGAGCATCCATACTCTTGCTTGTTGTTGCATCATCATAGAAACAGCTCTTAGAAATCTAAGAGCTGTTTCTATGATGATGCACAATCTAATAGGAGGCTAAGAGCAGCTAGGAGCGGCTAGCAAATGGCATTAGATTCATTATTAGCTTGTATAGAATCGCTACAAAGAAGCACTTTTTTCAATAGGCTCCACTTTACCCATTCAGACGATTTTACCAGCGTCGGCCAAGGATATATACTATAGAGATGAGATTGGAAACATATCAACATCAGCTGTGCGACTTCGCGCTGATTCTGTTGATGTCGAACTGAAACCGAGTTACATGTCACGTACTTATTGCCTCTGTTAATATTTTATTCCTTTTTATCGTTCAGATTCCCGCTTTTTGGAGGATGGCGCACTTCCTACGTTATCGGTTATAATGTGCCTTCTTTCGAATATCTTTACAATAAGGGCAATAATTATGCGCTAAAAATGAGAGTTCTCGACCATATTTTTGACAATGCTGTGGTTGAAAAGCTTACGACGAAGATCATCCTGCCAGAAATGATAAGGTAAGCTCTTGATCACCACTGTCAGTCTTGAGAAAAAGGGTCATATAGTTTAAATTGTTGAGAAGGAACCAACATATAATTGGGGTGCTCGACAAACAAGCCACCCTTTTTACACATTGCACCTAACCTTTTCCGATGTGTAACGCATCTCTGCTTTTTAAAATTCATGTTTGATTTTAGAAAAGCGAGGCTTATCACACCATACAGCATGGGTAGAAGACCCTATGAAGTCCGCGCTACATACTTGGACACAACTGGCAGAACAGTTATAGTGTTGCAGAAAGAAAACCTTGTTCCAGAGCATATCCAGTCTTTCACTGTGAGTTGCTCTTCGATCTGAATAAATCGATGTTCTTTTTTGCTAGAATTTGGAAATTATGTCATACATTTTCAGCTGTTTTACGATTGAGTTCTCGCAAATGATCCGGGAACCATTGCTCGCCACGGCATTTTTCTTTGCACTCTTTACCGTTGTAATTATCTATGTGCGGTTCGATTTCACAATCGTTGCGGTAAGTTACGTTTTGGAAAGTTTGTCACATCTCTCGACCGTTTTTGCCCTGATTCATTGAACTAGTTTATTCGATACTCGATCTTTGCCTATAAATCGAAATATTTTAGGATCCGGCACGTGAAGCACGCGAACGTATCTTGGGAAAGGTGTCGGGTCTTTTCGAGACTTTTTACTTTAGCAAGTATATTTTCTTTACTTAGGGATCCTTAAGGGTAGGGTAGCTATTGTTCATCCTAAAGTGAGAAATTGAACAACCCAAATGTGGAATTTTGTTTTCCCCATACTATCGTATACCGTCGGAGAAGCTAAAGTTTGTTTCAAGTAACTTTTGACAAGTTTCGATTAGTATCCGTTAACAGATTCCAATCATTTTCTTAAGTCTCAGAGTTTACGTTATTCTTTTGTTTTATAGGGAGCAGATGAGGAGCGCAATTTACGACGAGCATCTCTAGCACTGGCTCATCAAAATAACAAATTCAATCTTGGCGCTGTTCCCGACGACATCAGTGGAGAAAATTCGTTCTTCATATATGCAAGCAAATAAATAATATGGGCCAACTGCGATTGCAATTTAAACTGTTCCACAAACCGTTGTCTTGTTGGAAAGGTTCATTTTTTTTACACCAGTGGGTGTGAAATGATTAACGATATAAGATGATTTTTCGAAAGTTTGAAAAATTTGAAATAAATGACTTATCTCTTCTCTTTCTTCTATCTTCTATCCACAAACGCTAGGGGTGAGAGGGAGGGGGTAGAGTACGGGGTGAGGGTCGCGCTAAACTCCTACCCGGGGGGGGGGGTCCTACTCGGCTTATTTGGGTGGGGTTTAGAGACAAAATTGGGGTTTGGAGCTTAAAGACAGCGTCCAGGCAAGTCTGGACCTATGGGGATTTTACATGGAAAGTACTTTTGGGGCCCTAACTAAGCCACTACCCAACTGGCAGCTCAAGTAGTGCTCTAACGCCTGAGATATTCTGCTCGAAACTGGACCCCGCGACCGTGTTTCGCATGGATTCATGGCGCAAAGCGTGGATCCTGGCGCGAAACTGCCATGAATCCATGCGAATACGTTCGCGGGGGCCAGTTTCGAGGGGAATATCTTAGCCATTAGAGCACTACCTAACCTGCCGCTTGGGCAGTGCCTTAGTTAGGGCCCCAAAAGTACTTTCCACGTGAAAGCCCCGTAGGTCCAGATCTGCCTGGAAGCTGCCTTTAATTAGGGGTAATTACAGTATGCCGCGGCAGACTTGCGGAACACAAAATCGGGGGGCTCCGGCGCACAAAATCGGGGGGCTCCGGAGCAGAAAATGGGAGGTATCCGGAGCAGAAAATGGGAGGTATCCGGAGCAGAAAATGGGAGGTATCCGGAGCAGTAAATGGGAGGTATCCGGAGCAGAAATGGGAGGTCTCCGCCGGAGAAATGGGAGGGCTCCGCCCTGGGGAAACGCCGCGACCCTGCCATTTCTCCGGCGGAGGGGTCCTATCCGCTGTCTGAGTTCGTGGAGCCGACTTCACTGTACGAGGACATTGTAAGCTCCTTCCTTTTCCTTTCCTTTCTATTAGTTGATGCCCTCCCTCCATACTGATGATTTCCGGGCAATGCTTTTTTTACTCATTTCTGCTCCGTCTAAGGGTAGGAACAAAAAGGAGGCTACGTCTTTATTTTTTATTCATTTTCTAAGTTTGTTTTCTGTTGTCCTTTGCCGATTGATTTTATGATTAGACTGAATACTGCTCCTTCTTGTGGCGCTTATTGTTGATCTCGTAATTTATGTCTAGAAAGGTCTCGTCTCGAATAATTGCGAAAAGGTGAGTATTTTCTGACTACTTTCCAGGTTTGCGCAAATTTTGAAGCATCCTGCTTACTGTATATGTCATGCCGGAGTTTTGGAATAGGTCGTAATTGCTATATTCGTAAAAATTCAATTTTGTAGCTTAACATTGACAGCGCTAGGGAGGTTGCCTCTTATCGGTGTTACGTCTTAAGGAAAACGTGTTCTCTTTGGTGGAGTGACTTGTGCAGTAACATGCTGATGCCCTGATCATAACATTAACGCGAGAGTATAGCTCTAAGGTATGAGCTTTACATGACACATTTTCACAATCTACTCCAACCGAAGCAGCATTGCTAGAAAAAAGTATATTTTTCCTCGTAGCCGACTTTGCTCATCTAAACTCGCAATAACCTTTGTGCGAAGTCGCTTCCTTATGAGGAAGGTTTTTACTCAAAGAGACCTATAATAGTTACATTTATTCTCCACAACACACACGTCAGTAGAAGTCCGTCACTGATTGCAGATTGAGGGGTGCAGCAAACTAGTACCCTTGCACATTCACTTCTTATATAAGTACTGTGTACGTGGAAGCGCTGACAGTGGTCCGTATAATGGAGTAAGACGAGGTTATTGTTGCGGTTTATGAGTTGTGATAGAACAAGCAACTTCTGCAAAAGCTTCGAAGTCGTTTTCGCTAAGTTCATTAGATTATGTTCTTTAATCAGCAAAAAAATTACTTTTTACATGTAACTTGTGCTTTCAATCGGCTGAATTGACTTTGTTTCAATTCATTACACATGAGCAAGATCTCATTTAGATTCCTACCGAAAACAAGGTCTCGAACTTAGTTAAGATAGAATGCGCGTTTATTGCAGCCAGAGTTTTCGCGATCGTTCCTCAACATCAAACTTTATCGGAAGATAACAGCAATAGTGTAACGGAAGATAACAGCAATAGAACCCTCAACTTCACGTGATTTCGTGGGTAACAATTCGGTAGCAATGTTCGATAAATTATGATCTATTTTTGTCAAAAATTGCGTGTCGTCTACTTTTGGGCCAATGTGATTTCGTCAAAGTGACAATGCGGTAAATTCGACCACTCTAAATCTGGTGTTTCATCTTCAATATATAGCGTTTATTGTAGAATAACTCTAACTTACACTCTGATGAGCAAACAGCCTCGCGCGGAGTGCTAACGGTCTGAAATTTTATGATATACAACAGTGTTGCCTGCGTTTAAAGTGTATAGATTTAGAGCAGCAGAATCGAAAATGTGGTGAGCCTTGAAACCGCGGAAATGCAGATTCAACCGATTGTAAGTTTACGAAGTTATGGTCCGTTACATCTGTTATCGTATCACATTTTGGGTTCGAAAAATAGACTAAGATGAAAAACTCGGTCATGCATTTCGAAGTTTTAAACTGAGCATGCTCGAAGACCTGATGGATGACCCTATGTACTCAACGAGTCAGGAACCACGAAAACCCTTGTCTAACAAAGAAGTGGCAATGATCAGGAGAGTGGGGCTTTTTTTGCGAAGAAATTCACCGCAGATTAGAAGAAAACGCTGTCAAAACGTTTTTTCATAAACCAGCAGAACTAACAGCGATTATTTGCGGAGTGGCACGTTCCACAGTGTTTAAATACCGTAGTCACTCTCCACAACAACGCGAGCGCGCGGAGAACAGAATAAAAAACCGAAAAGCTCTAAGGAAAAAGGTAGTCCAGAAGTATGGAGAAGAATGGGGAAGTGTAGTTCGCCATTTCGTACACAGAGAGCACCATAATGAGTAGCATTTTTCAATAGACAGTCTGAGAGAGGAATTGGCGAGCAATTACTCTGAGTTTCCTTTGGTAAAACAACATTTTACCATTTCTTCGAAGGAGTAGGGTTTACATTCAGGATAACTACAGGCAGCCCATAATTTTTGAGAGGCCGGATTTGATCAGGGAGGCACTTCTATTTATCTGCGATAGAGCAGACCAGCAAGCCATTGTCTCATTTATATGGATGAGACATGGGTGTTCGACTGTACATCGAAAAAAAAAGAAGCTGGGAAGGCACCACAATAGCTCGTTTCGACTCTGCCCCGTCCTACAAGAGTACTCTTGTGGACGGGCTATGGCAAAAAATAAAGGCAAAAGGGCGATAGTAATTAGCGCCATCAGCAAAGAGGGAATCATCCCTGAGTTTACAAGAATCATTATCAGCGGGATGACGTCAGTTAAAAGGATTATCATCGTTATATGAGCCATGAGATATACGAAAGTTGGATTCGCGATGCGATCCCGCATATGAAGAGAACCGCTAACGGCTGCTGCGTATCATTTACCATTGGTAAGCCCCCTATCATAGCCGCCAAGCACAAAAGGTAGGATTACAATTAAGATAATATGCTCAATTACAAAAAAAAATGAAGCTGCCCTCACAATCATCTACAAAGGCTGAAATAGCAAGCTACTTACGATCGAATGATGTAGTAGTAGCGGAGAACAGCAATAAGAACAAATTGCTAGAAGAGGTATTGGTGGTCCTAAAAAACTTTCGTCAAAAAATGCGCCTCGTTTACTTTTAGCTGAATGAACTCATGTCCAGCCGAGGAGGCCGAGACGGACCGCGCAATTATGTGGTGGGCGGTATCTGTGCTAATCTAGGGGTGAACGTGACAAGGCTTTCACCTTATCATTGTTTTTTAACCTCATTGAAACGTGCTGGAGTCAACTAAAGCACAATCTCACCACACTCAGCAAGCCGGAAGATACTCTGGAAATGGTCACGCACATCACAATCTTGCCAGAAAATAACTCAATATTACAGGCAAGGAGAAGAGCGCTGGATTGGTTACATGCTCTTCCGGCATCACAATGAGCACGGTGGATGGACCATGTCGTTGCAGAAGAAAACACTGCAAGGCAGAAGATAGTCATAGACCGCAAGGCATCGATACAAGAAGATTGGGGATCTGACGTTTCCATCTTAAGTGATGAGGAAATCAGCGGTGCGCAGGATGCAGATGCACAGTGAAAGTGAAAGCCGCTATAGCCAAAATTGAAGTTTGAAAATCACTTTCAAGTCCCTTACCACACATCTCTGCTCTTCACTTCAGTAGTTTCTCAATCTATAAATCCACTAGAGATTCCCATTCTTCCTTTCTCAAACTACTTTAGACTCTCATGTCCCACACTACTGCCAGAACAATAACGTCACATACTACATGCATTTATTCTATGGGTCAGCAATAAACGTGTCGCATTCTGGAACACGGGTTTGCAACTGTTATGGAAAGGGAAAGTTATGAAAAAACGGCATGACTTTAGTGATTTTCAGTAAATAAAGAAAAAACTCGTAAGCAAAACTAACTACCAAGAAATACTCATCCGTTGCTCTCAAAGCCAGCTTGCTAAAATAAAGGTACACAAAAAATTAATAAGAAGCGGGATCGACAGAACGTATCATGGGACACTGCACTCATAAGCAAGCAACATTTATAACAGATTTGCAAATTACTTCAGCCATTGTGGAGTGATAATGGTGATTGTCTAAGCGCCATCATACCTTCAGCCTACACAACACAAATACCCCTAGGAGTTCACTAGACCCGAGTGGGAACGTTGCGATGCATAGGAGACTCAGCATTGCATTGAAATCTCAAGCAAAATAGTAACAAAATTTATTAAAGGAAGTCAATTGGTTCACACAACTTACCTTTACCAAGCCAACAGTGATGAAACCCTTCTGAAACAATGCATACTTAAAAAATCAAGAA